CTGCCAGGCAGCTCTCCAGCCACTCTTCCCCAAGCCTGTAGCGTTGCATGGGGTTGTTGTGACCCAAGTGCAGGACCCAGCACTGAGCCTTGTTGAACCTCACACAGCTGGCCTTGGGCCATCGATCCAGCCTGTCCAGATCCCTCTGTAGAGCCTTCCTACCCTCCAGCAGATCAACACTTCCACCCAGCTTGGTGTCATCTGCAAACGTACTGAGGGTGCACTTGATCCCCTCATCCAGATCATTGACAAAGGCATTAAACAGGACTGGCCCCAGTACTGAGCCCTGGGGAACACCACTTGTGACCAGCTGCCAACTGGATTTCACTCCATTCACCACAGCTTTTTGGGCCCAGCCATCCAGCTTGTTTTTTACCCAGTGAAGAGTGCGCCTGTTCAAGCCATGAGGAGCCAGTGTCTCCAGGAGAATGCTGTGGGAAATGGTGTCAAAGGCTTTACTAAAGTCGAAGTAAACTCTGGAATTCCAAAAATGAATTTTGACATTTTGGGAAGTGAGAGGACTGCATGTCTTTATTTTAATAATATTTTTAAAAGCTGAAGGTTTAGACCAGTATTTTTAGATGGGTCCTATCAAGAAAGAAGTCTCTAAATATCTGCTAGAATGTGAAGATTCATAAAATCACTTGGATTTTATTTCTCATTTACACAACTGTGCTTTGCACCAGCACTCTTTCTGCACTTAATATATCTTTGAACAAGTTTCTTTTTAGGCCTCTAGTTTTGGCCCTTTTCACTGTCAGACTCTCACATTTTTAGCAGAAGGCCCTGGTGTCTGGTCAATATTTGAGTTTCACAAATGTCATTTAGACAGAAAATTAATGCATGCATTGGAACTAAATTTTATTAAAATCCACAATTTTGTCATGAAATTACTTGAAAATATTTCTTTATTAAAGCATCTTTTTATGTAGTCTTGCAGCACTTGTACTGCAAAATAATGCTTCTACTTTCATCAAAATAGAGCTTAATAATACAGAGGTGCAGTCTGACTATTTAATCTGAATTGCAAGAAAGACTTTATTGTGGAGAGTTGGTTACTTCACTAAAGGAAATGAAGTTACAGGGAGACAGTTAGTGGCAGACTTTCATCTGTTAATAATGTTGCTTGTGGAAAAGCCAATACAGAACTACTTCTAAAAAAGAAAACTTTAAATCTTTTGGGGTTTAGATTTTGACATTGGAAACAGCACAGATCCTTCCGTCAGAAACACCTCACGCTCTTACAGTAAGACTTGGAATAGGAGCCAGGCACCTGCAGTGTGTGGTGAGGTTACACAAATCAGGTGACATTGGTGCCTGTTCTCTTACCTGCCAAATGAGCATGCTGCTGCTTCAGTGGCTGTTCGCGTAACTAACTCTGTTTCATACAGTGTGTGAATGTAGTACAGCTTTAGTTGGGTACTCGTGTTGCCCTCTTTAGAGGAGGTTGGCTGGCTTTCCAAGAATGGGCCTGGCTTCTCTCTGTTCCTCTGTGTATTTTCTGTACACGGTAGTCTTTCATACTTCTGTGGGGGTTTTGTATGCTTAGTTAACTTTGAGTGAGGGTTGAGGGGTTTTGGGTTTTTTTTTAATAATAAATCATAACTTTCCATTTAGAGCTGCTTTTTTTAATTTTGTGTGTCAGAACAGTCATATATGTAACATAATGGGAAGCATTTGTTCAAATTTGGTGTCTAAAGTGAGCTTCTATTGATGATTTCAACTAACTTGGCTGTCAATAAAGAGTAAGAATTTACTCTCTGAAGAAGAGTTGGAAAATTGCTGATTCCTATTCTTGATACGCGTGTTTTCATCTCATATGGGTAAGGTGAAGGGACTGTGAAATGAAACTGTCTTCTGTTTAGAAGTTACAGTTGTACAGAGCAAAGCCCTCATCCTAAAGCTGCAGCCCCCACCAGCTCTTGTCAGCCAGCTAAGCATGTGCCACTGATAGTTTAAGCCAGCCTGCGCTGGAGCAGATGAGCTGCAGCTCATCTTTGGTTTTGGTGACTGACTGTTGGTGGAGGGGACCCTTGAAAAGCAAAGATTAATAAAGGGGACTTTGCCCAGAGCAACTTTAAATAGAAGCTGTGTTGGTTTTGTTGGTTTGGTTCCCCCCTTCC